CCCCGTATTTTACGTGGGTCGCCTGAAACGGTATGTTGATCCAGAAGAGATCACATATCCACATCGGTCTATCGAGACCGATGGTGACGTCGACTGTGAGTCGAGCGTCGCGGCCGATCAGGCGACGAGGAAGCCGAGAGGCTCCCCGTATACGAACGAGGCGATAGAGGACTCGGTGATCGAGGAGGACTCCGCGCTTGACGCGGGTCTCTCATCACCAGTCGCTCTAAGATGTCCAAACGGGTCTTCAGCCCTGACGGTCCCTCGACCTCACATCGCGCAGATCCGAGGTCAGTCGCGAGACTTGACTCTCCAGATCTGTCACCTGCCTCTTCAGCGTAGCTGACTCAGCCTGCGACTGAAAAGCAGCAGGGTAGGCAGCCGCGAGTAGGTGGGCGTAATCGCCACTCCTATCGGGCGCCACCTGTGTTGGTGGACACGGATGGGAACACGCGCTTCCTTGTTGGAAGGCTGTTGGACCAAGCGAAAGCTCCAAATCCTTTTCCGGTGGAAGGGTTACCCAACGAGCTTTGACTCGTGGGAGCCTGTGGACGCTTTGCGCGTTGACGGGCCGGGCTGGTGGCTGCTTATGTGAAGCAGCACCAGCTGTCTTCTTTCTGCTAGATCCGGACGGACTAGCAGAAGAAGCGTGGCAAGAATTAATTGGGGGTCGCTTACCACCCATAATTTCATGCGCACGCTTCATGGCGAAGCTGATTCGCTGCGACCGCTGTTTAGTTGCATCTTCATGCAAGGTAACACGGCGCCGAAGTTCAGCTTCATAGTCGTCGGCTGTTTCGTTAGAACGCAGCACGACTGGAATTGGGAAAGCACGACCAAGTGCTTTGCCCTGCTTTTTCCACAAAGGAAAGACACTATAAAATCTATGATCGTCTATAGTTGCACGCTGCAAAAGCGCTGCGCTAGACCCATCCGAGTTCATCCACTCAGATGGAGGTGGCATTGGTGGCAAGCCACCACTCACGTAGCCGCCCTCGCGACGGCGGGCTAGTGAGGCCGACGGTGTACTTGGTGGAGCTTTAAGCTCACACTCACCTGAGTCTGACTCTCCATTATGGATTGTCAAGACATCAGCCTGAAAAGTTACATCTGACTGAGTCTCGGCTACTCTTTTCGAAGTAGCGCGCTCAGTTTTAGTCGCTGCGCTCGTAGGCGCAGACGACGAGGCTTTATCTTTGCTTGTAGGAAGCATGGATGCTTCCTCAAGGACGGGTGCCTCAAATGATGGGGACATATGTCCCATCAATGCCCTATGCTCATCGCCACTTTGGGGTGATGGCAGTGGTGTAGTCTCATTGTAGTCTACAATGAGAGATGGATCTTCATCCACATTATCGTGAGACCCCTGTGCCTGACGCACTTTGCGACGACTGCGATAAATCGCGGCTCGTGCGCTTAGTGCTGGACTGCATGGGTGCCTTTGCAGGCGACCCATCAGCCTTACCACGTTTCGGTGGCATGAGTACTGAGCAGACTAAAGCGGCGCGTTTATAACGGCTCGCAAGTCTCTCCGTCTCTTAGGCGATGTTTTACAAAATGTAAACATCGTTCTAAAACGGGGGATGGTGTAACAGGGCATCTAGTTACACGTAAACATTAAGTAATAAACTTAATGTTTGGTCTAAAAGTGTCCATGATTACTTTTGACCTGTCACTTGGGTGCGATACACAAACGTGATCCACCCTCGTGAATGTAATATCCATTTATGAATTCACATGAGAAGGGATGACGTTAGTTGAAGCTAGGCATCGCGACGTCTCAGAAAGACGTCATTCGCAAACTTAAATCTAGATTTAAGTTCATGCGTCAGGATACGCTTCTAAAGAGTCGCGTATCCGATCTATATATATATATAGCCAATCAGTAGTTAAGTATATATTTAGTTATAATTAATTAAATATAGCTCAGTCTTGAATTTACTTAAACATACGCACCACGCACGAGAAGTTGAAAAGCTTCTGCGTGACGTCGGTGCTTTAGTGTTAAGAAGTTCGCTGCACTCTCGCTTAAGCGAAAGGCAACTGGTGGTACGACTGCTTAAGCAGTCGACCAAACTCCCAACCACCCTCGCACGCAAAGGATAGACGGTCTAACCGCTTCCTCGCTTGTGCATAAGGTGTGTGCTCGTAGCACGAGGCAAATTCGTTGAAGTGCACGTCTACACCGAAAGCTGAAGCTCGGTGAGGCATAGTATGTAAGGAATACGACTCTTACTGGCGTAAAACCACTGGAATTTTTTCTAACACTACGCGAAACAAATGATGGAATACTTGCTAGTCTTCGGACAATCTACAATGAACGGGTCAAAGTGCGAATGGAGATGTTAGCAGGCAGGAAATCGCTCCAAACACTCCTTGATGGTATGAGAAACAGTAATTTTATGTACCTTTCCGATTAAGACAGTGAGCGAAGGATCACTTCTCTTTTCTTTGCTCACAAAGCAAGCATCCAATTTGCTCAACATAACCACCATGTAATCTGCATGGATTGCACCTACAAAACGACTAGATATATATCGGCTTGTATTGCTACATGTTGTTGGCATGACCCGCTTTAACTCTCAATGAACAATCGGCTTTTGCTTTTTTAAAGAAGAAAAAGAAAAGGATTACATATGGGCCTTGACTACACTGACCACCATATGGACACGCACATCTTCACCATGGATTATTGTAATCGACCGTAAATTGGCATTCATGGCAGCCATTGTCAAAATATTCCCAAAATTCGTGAACCTTTTTTGCACATGACACATCAACAAAAACCTTGTGGCAAAGTTTAAAAAACCTTAGGCGAACCATGGGATGTATTTAAAGAAGATGGCAAGCCCTTGTGGCCCTACTTCCGAAGAAACTTATCAATCACAATCGTATAAAATCTCGATTATTCATTTGCCTTTTTCTGAAGATCTCAGATACATCACCAAAACATGGCTCACTTACAAAGAGCAGTTTGTAGATGCCTGGACTTCAAAGGATCTGCATTTCGGCCACAAAGCCACATCAAGAGTTAAAGGTAATGAGGTTGGGTTGCGAGATACAAGAGAGACAAGACTAAATGAGAGAGGTTGGCAAATGTTTTCTTTTATTGTTTTAAAAGGAGCCCACGCATACATAAAGAAATTTCTCCAAGTGTCGACTGGAGATCTTCTCTCTGTTTTCAACAAGCTCACACATGCTTTGAAACATCAGGTTAATCAAACGCTAATATTGAAACAGAAGCCTTATCTTTATTTATCTATGTGCATTGGAGATGTGATGGTTCTTTCATTTTTTGTGGTGTTTAGATATTTTATAAAATGATATGATACCAATTTATCTAATTTTATACATTTCCTGATATAACAACAGGTGGTGGCTGAGGAAACCAAGCGCAGTGACAAAAATCTGCACCATTTATTTGAGTTGCCTTCAATGTTGAAAGCAGTTTCGGGAAAAATAATAAAATTTGCTCTGAAAAGATGTCGGGTAGAATTTGAAAAGTAAGGAAAATCATGAGCCATGCACCAGAATTCTACCATCTACTTTGCGTATTCCTTGTATGCACAGGCTTCAACTAAAGGTGTAACGGGGTGAGCCCGTTACATAATATCGACACTTATATGAAGTGTCAATAAAATTATTATTATAGCTTTATATACTTGACGATATTATTTTTTCTTATAATATTGTTTCTAGATCTCCTTGAGGTTGGAGATGCCCTATCATTGGTTGATATGGGCCATCATATCAACCACCACGCTGACCAATGACCGATGGACGCGTGCAATGAGTGGAGGGCAAGTTGTCAACATACATAGTTGTAGTTTAATATAGTTAACATATGTAGACGGGCACTTCTACGAAGTTGCCACGTACTACGAGCACACACCTTGCACAAGCGAGGAAGCGGTTAGACCGTCTATCCTTTGCGTGCGAGGGTGGTTGGGAGTTTGGTCGACTGCTCAAGCAGTCGTACCACCAGTTGCCTTTCGCTTAAGCGAGAGTGCAGCGAGCTTCTTAACACTAAAGCACCGACGTCACGCAGATGCTTTTCAACTTCTCGTGCGTGGTGCGTATGTTTAAGTAAATTCAAGACTGAGCTATATTTAATTAATTATAACTAAATATATACTTAACTACTGATTGGCTATATATATATATAGATCGGATACGCGACTCTTTAGAAGCGTATCCTGACGCATGAACTTAAATCTAGATTTAAGTTTGCGAATGACGTCTTTCTGAGACGTCGCGATGCCTAGCTTCAACTAACGTCATCCCTTCTCATGTGAATTCATAAATGGATATTACATTCACGAGGGTGGATCACGTTTGTGTATCGCACCCAAGTGACAGGTCAAAAGTAATCATGGATACTTTTAGACCAAAACATTAAGTTTATTACTTAATGTTTACGTGTAACTAGATGCCCTGTTACAAGTTCCTTGTAGCGGTTTCGATTGCAGTGCTAGCAACACGTTTCAATGACGCTTTAAGTTGTGGTCTATTTAATAGATGTACAATCATGTATAGACGCCACTGAGTTTTTGCTTATAAACAAATTTACTGGACCTGGTCCTGCTCCTAGCTTAGAGTAAAGTCTGAGCTCGTGTCACGCAGGTAGTTAATTATTTAGCCAAGTCCAACCTGGCAGTGCGCAGCTTCGAAAAGCTTGCGCTTGATCAACACTTGATAACGCTATGGCTGTTTGTCGGGTGTCATGAAGTTTCTAAAGGAACTCTGTCACTAATCTCTGTCACTAATCGAGTCTCGACGAGGTGACTCGGCTCGCCTTGTATACACATTCAGCTTCATCAATGGAGAAGAAACCGCAACACCAGCGCGATATCTTCTCTGCGTTATGCTTTAGTGGTGAAATTGGCGAAGCCAATACGTCCGCTTTTCAATTCAAGCACTTGCCACTGTAGTCTTCACCTTCGTAAAGATCTTTGTACAGCAACTAATTGAAGCATGCGCCTCGCTAGCCCACCCTTACACTACGTAAGTCTTTTGCTTACGCTATGAGTACAAGGCAAACTGAGAATTACCAAGTGTTCTACCACGGGATGCACTGGTCGTCGTCTATGAAGCCGCCAGTGGTTCAAACATGTCAAATTCTCGGCGATATTTTCACAAGCGCTGATGACGCAGCTCATAAAATTGAAATCCTCCATCGTTACGCGTTTGCTGTGGTCGTCTACGTATCCCAGCAAACACTCACCATAACTCTCTTTTAAAGCCATCGCAGCTTCTGTCAGTGTGAAAGATTCGACATTGAGCAAAGCTTCAGGTGCGGAACTTTCGCTAGCTGATGACATACCACTGAAGAGATATCGTCGGCTGGGGTTCATCATTGGCCTCGTATCCTCGGAAAGGGTAGATGTGAGATTTGACATCTGGTAGGCTGCCATGTCGACGAAATTGGATGATCGACGAGGTCGAGGTGACGGAAAAACAATAGTAACGTGCTTTTGTCTGCCAGGAGTTGAGGGATCTTCAGATTCGTCTGCCTGCATGGATTGGATAGAGTTGCGTCGAAGTGTGCTTCTATGAAGCAAGCAAATGCCACTGGAGGGAGTAGGTTGTGCTCCATTGGGCGTCACCACGTCCGCTATCGGAACCTGCGGTTGATCATCGTAGATCTCGAGCTCCAGTCGAAAACCTTCGTTCAGCGCCTGCATGAACTCGCTGAACGAAAATTTGTCGTCGTTGTCCTTGTCCACCAGCTGCATGAATTCGTCTACATACTGTTCCATTCCTCCGATGCCTTGGCTACCAGCGTACGGCATGAGCTTTTCCAGCAAAAGACTAAGCTCCGAGACATCTACAACACCGCGACGGTGCACGTCGGCGATACGGAAGGCTTCCTTCATCTGCAAGTAGATTGCGTGATCTTCTGCATTTGAGCCTGAAAACTCTTCTCCGAACAAGGTCGCTCGACGAGTACTTATCATTGGCATGTAAGTGCGATGCGGAAATTACGGAGGCATATGGCTGCGTCGCCGCATGATATCCGTGATATTCTAAACCTGACAGTCGATTTGTATTGCTTCCGCGCCAAGGATATTAAGAAAATGGACTTCTTCAAGCTGAGACTTGATCGGCTGCTGACGAATGCACATGAGCGTCTTGCGACTATGGAGTCACTATTGAGTGACTGCTGGTGGGAAGAGCCGAGTGTTTAACTCAAGCAGTGATGGATGTACCTATCCAATGTTGTTATTTGACGTACAAGATCGGATAAAGAAGCATCAGGATCACGAGCGCAATCAAAGTGCCAACAACGCCCACAGCGCTGTCGATGACTAGCTGCTTAACCAGGTTATTCTTGCCATAATAGTTATTGTCATCTAAGATATCCTTGAGCGTTGTGGCAAATATCGAATTCATCGGGAGACACCATGCACGGACCCACGTATCAAGTGCCCAACGCTGTATCATAATTTCTTATGTTGACGCATTTGTGTCGCTCTGAGTCATCGTAACGTGATACTCAGCAACTTCCGTTTATTGCCAGCTCGCATCGCAGCAAGAGGTTACCCAAGACCTCCGTGGTGTCGCTAGCACAAATTAGGGAACGACATTAATCATCTACCATCATTGGGTCCGATCGTAGTAGTAGCTTCAGGCCGCGTAGGTATCTGTTCCGCGATATGCGCGAATACCATCAGCATCAATGAACGCTGCTTGCAACAAAGTTTTTGAGTAGCAACTATTTGGTTGCGCCATGCTCGAAGCAAGAGCGTATGCCCGACTTATGTATGGTCCTGGTTTGGAAGTTGCATTTGACCGAGCACTCTTGTAACATTTTTTGGTCAGGTCAGCGCTTGACAGCTTAAGATTCGGTCTAGCTAAACCATATGCAAAGAATTCGATCCACTCACAACCAACTATCACCCAGGCGTCATAGTAGATGGACTTCCACTTGTTAACCACAAAGTTGTGTCAAAAAAATATCACATAGCAGCAAACGCAAGTTGCGTCGTCGCGTATGAAAACTCGCCACCGTTTAAGTCATCGCGATCGGTCGCCACTTGTAAATGTAATGTGCAATTCGAACAATATGCTCCATTGAAAGTCGATTGATCAGCAAAAATTATTGAAACGAACCCCAAGCGAAGTCGTTTTCCGGTGCTGGTATTTGCGCCGAGTTTTGAGTTGCTGCCTCAGCAACACTTAAAGCAGGAGTAAAAGTCCGAAGCCGAAGGCGTCACTTGAAGCTAATGGTTTTGTTAATCTTTATTCCAAACGGCTGGAGCAGGTAAGTCTTGTGACTACGTAGCCCCAAAATTGCCCCTGACGCCGCCAGCCGCACTGGCACTAATGTAAATTCTGAGGTCTTAGAAGGCGTCGTCAAAGCTGAGAACATTCCCAGCTCCCCCCACTGTTAAAGCGCCTTCGGACAAGGCAAACGGAGGAGTATTGGACTCTGTGAATGCCGGTTGCTGAATAATGCTACCAGCATGAGAGCCTCATGTTGTCACAGCCACAAGTCGTCCGAAAATGCCTACGTTCTTCGCCATAAAATGTGCAGTCTGGATCTGCAGCACTAAAAGCTCCTGCGTCAAACCACTTGGATACTTTATAGGATCTTCTCGTAAATCAAAGTCTTGTGGCAACTTCGATGCCACACAGCGCATTAGCGCGTCAATTTGCATTCTCTCATTTTTTTGCTTGGCCTTAGACACGTGCTTTTGCAATAAGGTTTTCAGATCATCGAAAGTATCGAACGATCGTGTCGAATTGGGCACGGAAAATCCCAATTTGGCCGCTAAATTAGCAATGTGTTCCACATAAACGTGCAAATGCTGCAGCGTTCTCGCTTCAGACTACTCAACCCTTGACAACACTTGAACCTCGTATTGTTTACTATGTCGCCCCTTCGCCATTAAGTCACTCAGCGATTTGGCATCTATTAGAGAAAACCTGACGTCAATCGAATGGTGTGTATCACATTGCAGGAAGAGATGACAGCAAATGGCGCATCATTTTACGTCTAGGGCGAGACACTCTCGGCCATCAAGCCCAGCGTCTGGAACGGGGAAACATGGGCGACATCTTAACGAGGTGTCGCTTAATCATGCACACAATAAAGTTCATCTCCAGTATACGAAGATCTGGGCAACGTACTTGCTCTTGAGGTAAACTCCCTCAACTTTCTCAGCAGCGACATACTCACCCTGCGATAGCTTCAAGATGTTCTTCTTGCGGTCAATAATACTGAGTGTGCCATCAGCATTCCAGCAACCAATATCACCCGTGTGGAACCACCCATTTTCATCAATCACTTCAGCCGTCTTCTCCGGCTGCTTGTAGTATCCAGCAAATAACAACGGACCCTTCGTAAGAACTTCTCCACGCGGTCGAGGCTTATCTTTGCTAGTGTATCCCATCTCAGGTACATCTTCGAGACACACTTGCATTCGAACGAGTGGCGGACCAACGTGCGGCCCCAATGGCATATGACCCGAGGCAAGTGTCACACCGGCTGCTGTTTCACTGAGTCCATATCCCTCCACGACATCGCAGCAGAAGACAATCTCCAGAACCACTTGAAAAAACCCATTAAATCTGATTGTTCGCATATGTTTTTAACGTTTTATTGGCGTTTTAAACCACAAATACGTCTCAAACGGGTCTGCGCTACATGTATGCTAAGCCCAGTACGGAAGACACCATGCACGGACCCACGTATTAAGTGCTTAATACCGTGACCGTCAAAAAAGCGAAGCAGACGCTGGATCGTCATTTCTTACGAGGCTACAGTAGCTGTAGAGTCGTGAGGGTACAGTACAGTATGAACATACTTTTACTGTACTGTACAGTATAATTGAATAACAAGAGTAAATGTATTCTCAATTAATAAAAGCCAGAATGATTTTTCTAACATGGTTTAAGACTCTTCATCATCTTCAGCAAGTTATAAAACTTAATGTAAATGTTATCCGGATAATAATATATAAAATTGTGCAACAGGGACACTTGAAAAATAAAGTATTTTTTCACTTGTGCAAATAAAGTCTATATGTTTTCACTCTTATTATTTTAAAGTATTGATGCATTGAAAGGATAATATCGCGTGATTGCCATTTTTACGTGGATTAGCGCTTTACGTCATGGCGCTTTTTACATTCCAATATTTTTGGCTACACTAAGAGGTACGATACCACCTCTTGTCGATTTTTGGCAGCTATAGACTGATTTTAGAATGATTCATACGATAATTTGTGACGCTAAGGCGATTGTCCTCCTTTCCTAATAGGCTCTGTCATTAATTGCACACTAGTGCCGTGAAAAAACAGGCGAAACTGCAGTTTTGAGCCGCTTCCAGTGCCTCGCTGTCACCGAGGCTAATTAATGGCATGTGTCGTCACTCACCAGACTCTCTACGTGGTCTTTTGCTGCGAAATTTACCTCTGCACTCACGAGCTGGGCCGGCGGCCGTTTTGTCACATGCGTTTGTGTGCAAGCTGAAAGCCGATTATTTGCTTTGGTCTCAGCACTATAGCCCCGAAGGTACAGGTCTTTATTTTCCATAACCTGCCAGGACAGGAGAATGAGCACTAGAGTGGAGCACAAGGGTGGTTCTACTATAGAAAAGCTACTATAGATTTAAACCAGCTGACATCTAAACAAATTACGAGGTGCAGTAGGCGCATTCAGCATTGAAGAGGAAGCAGACACCTTGCGGCTGCTGAACGAGATTAGGGAGAAGGCAGTATCAGCTTCAAGGACCGGCGTTGTGCTGACGACGGCAAAACGGGTGTTGTATGTATTCTATCGACATGGGCAGACTCGGTGACCATAAGGACCGAAACACTGGACGAACAGCGCGACGGCTGGACGAACAGGTTTAGCGCGGTCGAACCGTATGACTACCGCTAAGTAAACGTCTACGAAATAAACGCGGACAATGCCATGAGCTAATTTTGATAAAAGCGTGCTGAGTTTTGCATTCTTATCAGGACGTCGCTGGTAGTATCTGGCTCGCAGTTTTCCTACGTCAAAAGACCAATACTCTTTTCGAGGTACACTCCAGAGGTCAACGGGCTAAAGACACACGGGACGATAACAAGAGCTCAATATTTCAGAAATGACGAGTGATGAAACTATCGCTCTACTGCTGCTGGTTGGAGGCGTGTACTGGCAAGTATTTAAACGAACTGGTCTACTTGGTGACCATGTGCGCCGGTCGCTTGGTATGATGCACGACGTCTTCACAATGGTCATTCTTTCCGAAATGAACCTGTCTGCTAGCATTATTTCCACCGGAACGCTTCGTCGTTTGCTGTGCGTATGGCTGTAATGGTCTGATTTTCTCCTTCAATTTGATACATGCTTGAATGTCCACCACTGTTTCTCCATCGTTCAATCTAGCTGTCGCCCATGCGAACTAAGGACCCGCTGCGTCTCACGGTACGTCATTTCCTTGACACATACCACGCAAGGCTTTGCTATTTTGCCCCATGTTGCCACTGCCACCGTCTTATATTCGCTGGTATAAGCAACTCTGCTAATACCTGCGCTGTCTTGTGGATTGGAGCCGTAAGTGCAACTGTTTTCACCCGCTGGTGGTCTGAAGGGGCTTGCGGTCCTTCCAGTGATACTCACCATAATAATAATCGGTCAATGTAACTCTATATATCGAATCCCCAAAATAAAGTCTGTCGGGTCCGGGGTCTTGTCGTCTTCCCCCACAGGATCGATGAAAGTGCATGTATTCCTCCAGATTACGAAGTTAACCAAGCTCCTAGAGCGCCTCGCTCTTTCATATTCTTATTCGTCGGTATCCGAGACGGTTTACAGCAAAGCGAGCACATCAAAGTCTCTCGCTAATATAGTCTCTTGTGTTTTAATGTCCGTTATGGCTGAAGTGATCGGCGTAGCGGATACTGCCAATCTGGACAGTTGTACGTTAAATCAGTAGAGTTGCCCACCATAACCAGGACGAGACTTGGCTATGTCTCGTCTCTCAGAACAAAGAGCAGAAAAAGTACTGCTGTCTAAAGCATTCTATGCGACGTGTGACAAGAGGCCAATCTTTGAGAGTGATGGTCAATGTCTATATTTTTACCAATCACCATCGTCATTTTTGGCGCCAAGTTTAAATTTTACAAGGACGTAACTTTAGCCATGGGTGTGCAAGGTCTTTTGCCACTTCTTAAGAGCGTCACGGATCAAGTGCATGTGTCCAAGTATGCAGGAAAGACTGTGGGTGTAGACGCTTCTGGATGGCTTTATAAAGGCGCTTATAGCTGCCCCATAGACCTCGTTTTGGGTCGACCGACCGATGCGTGCGGAACGAATTAACCTATGTTTTAGTAATATTACCACTAAATACGTTCTAAAACCTGCAACTTCAACTGTACTAGGTACTTAAACTTTAGTCTTCAACAAATAAAACAGCTACAAGAACACAATATTACGCCCGTCTTCGTGTTTGATGGTGCTCCATTGCCAGCAAAGGCACAAGAGAATGCTGCTCGTAGCAGGTCAGACAGATAGAGTTCGTACTAAAATATAGCTCTACATGGCTAACTCATAGGTTTGTTTTTTGCTCTTAGATCTCGTGCAGACTGGAAACTGAAGGCAAAAAAACTGTTACAAGAGAGACAAGAAGAGCAAGATGGTCGTGCTGTTTTTTTAGCTTGTACAAGAGCTCTCTCAGTGACCAACGAGATGGTCATGAGACTCATTGCCGTCTTGCGACGGATGAACATTACTTTTTACGTCGCGCCCTACGAGGCCGATGCTCAGTTGGCATTTCTATCAAGACACAAACTTGTGGATGTGGTGATCTCGGATGACTCGGACTGTGTGCCATATGGAGTTAAAACGGTGCTATTTAAGTTGGATTTGAATGGATGGTGCAGTGAACTCAAGAGAAGAAGTCTTGGTGCTAATGAAGAGCTGTCATTTGTTGGATGGACAGAAGAAATGGTATGAAGCTGCTTTTTGAGCTGTTTGGACACAATAATTTTTAACGCCGATCTCATTGTGTTGATGTGCTTTTTTGAGCAGTTTATTCAATTGTGCGTGCTTGCTGGTTGTGACTATTGTCCGTCCGTCCGTGGCATCGGTATTATTACAGCCTTCAAGCTCGTGAATCAATACAAGACACCGAAGGAGGTAAGAGAAACTACGATGTGAAAATGCTAGCGGTTCTGTTACTGAGGTTGAGGCTGGTATATATAGGTCCTGGAGGCATTGCAACACCAAAAAGAGTCCTTGTTGCCTAAAGATTTTGCAAAGCATTTCTACTCGGCGATTCTCACTTATCGACACCAACTTGTGTTCGATCCTCGTGATTCGGTAAGTTGTACAGCTCTAGTAAAAATTCACAATTTAAATAATGTTCTCATGTTGTATTTGCTTGTTGTCGCGTCATCTTACAGAAGCTAAAAATGCTGTGTCCTCTTGACATTTCGAAAGACATCCTGCAGCGAGTAGACAAAGGGCTTGGTTTTCTCGGCAACGTGGAACTCCGAGACGGCGTTGTTGCGTCAATCGCATCGGGCCACATTCATCCAGTCACACACGAAAGCTATGTGTGGAAGGATACCGCCGCTGCCGTTTTGCTCGAAACAGAGGTCGTTGCAAATCATAAGCGAAGCAGGACGCGGTCATCGACTTCCTCCGAAAGCAGTGGAATAATCCTGCCTCGCCGGTACCAAAAGGAGGCAGCGATCGCTACTAGCCCCAACACGCCAGATGACTTATCGCAAGAAGAACCCATTACCGCCCGAGCCTCGCACAGATCGCGAGTGGTGGCATCACGCGTCCGATACGAAAAGCCACGGCCATCATCGCGATCATCCTGGACGCACCTCGATAGCGTCTTAGGCTCCTCCGACCATATTGTAAACTTTCGAAGCCCGAAGGTGAGCGAGAATTTTAAGCCGCTTGCCGCACTATACGAGCGTCCTACATCGATGCGCAATTCCAGTGTTACCACGCAAAATCTCAAGGGGTTTGAAAGCCGTCCAGTGCGCGATCACGTGAAGCGCGTCAGAAACCCGTCCAACCGTAGACGAGATGGCAAAGGCAGTGGCTTCGAGGGCGAGGTGCTGTGCAGAGTCGACCAGGTTCACACATCTAGTCTTGGAAGCAGCACTGACGTCCGGCAAAGCACACTAGCGGGCACATGCGGCTCAGATCGCATGACCGATGAGGAGAATGCCCCGCCACAGCAAGCGAAGCGGCCTAAAGTATTTGGACGTCCTTCATCACCGTCTTCGCCGCTATCATCGCACAAATCAGAAACCAGCAGCCAAATGCTGCTCGTTCGCCCTACACCATTTGAATGCGGCCAAAGACCTCCGATCTGCCCCACCGCCAGCGCCGGGTTTAACTGGAAACTGCCACAGCATCACTCACAACAGCCGCGTAGTCCACCACCAGCTGCTACAAAACCAGCATCTAACTGCGCCTATGCCATGACAGCTGAGGAGAAATGGGACCGTATCCTGGGCGACGAAATCGATGACGACACCAACAGTAGCGGCAGTCGAGTAGAAGACAACGAAGTTAGCAGTCCTCTTGCTAGCTTCGCTGCGTCCAGCAGAAATTGTCCCCTAGCTACGATGAACGAAGTTAGCCGAAGTTAGCAGAGACCTAGCTAGACTAGCCAGACATTAGACACTCAACGTCGACAATGAGATAAAGTCATGGGAAGCCACTCGGTATTCCATGGGATCACAAAAATCAAGCTACATGGCCGTTCCTTCTGTCGCGGGTCGACCTTCATCATCTTTGCCACCGCCTCGCGACGCTTGCACGGCAAAGAGCCGTCGTCTCCGGATCGCATCTTCGTCTGCCCTGCTAAACCTCGATATCGGCGGCGTGGAGGTCATTGATATTCCTACTCTTCCGGCCTCTAGTACCGCAATTGGCATTGGTACAAAATTGATATGCCTGTTGCTGTCTAAGGAAATCGGAACTGGTGCCACCAAGGCCGCATTCGTCGGGGCTTCACGAGTCACGAAGCTCGTCTCTTCCATGGACTCTTCCAATGCTCGTATCCATAGCGAGCTGCCTCCATCACCTCCGTCGACACCTCCTCGGCGTCCGAATCGCCCGCGTTGATAGTCCCGCAGTGGAGGCATCTTTTCTAAGAACCGCAAATTAGTGGAGACCATAAGCCGCTTTCGTCGCGGGTGTTCATCGTACTGGACCTGGTTGTTTACGAGACACGAAACCTCTTGTTGTGAAAAATGCATGGACAGATGGTCGTCGCCACTTACATGCTTAACGGTGGATGAAGACTGTGAACGGGCGCGTTTGGTGGTTCGAGATGCCATGATGGACAAGATGAGGCGTTCTGAGTTTGGTTAATTTTGCTGAATGAGAGAAAAGGTCGATGGGAGCTCAAGCAACAAGTTGTTGTTGAAGCCAGAGTTCTGTTTCTGAGACGTTGTTTTGCTCTCAGACTGCTCGGTCGTTTCACGCAAAGAGACGCCGAGTGCGATGTGTACGTTGAGAGGAGGCTCTGGATTTCCATTTTTTATACTTTGGTTTAGCTCTACACCTTTGACTGTGTTCGTATCCTAGAAAGCGACCATGTGGGTCTGGATTGTTTCTGCGTCGATCCTGTTTGATTTGGTATCGCCAGACGAGATGGTTGAGAGAACTGGACGGATAAACATAGGAAAGTGTTTATCTAGTGCTCCATTGACATAGTATCTAACATATACCTGCCTCACAAATACGTGACCTCTGTGTGTATTGGCCCAGTTCGATGAGAGTGGGCTCTACAAACGAGTTGACCATGACCACAGAGATAAAAGTCCTCGACTTTGATATAAAACAAAATACTCATGCAGTCGAATTGCATTGTCAAGATCTCTTCTATATCATACAGAGCTGAACTGCACCAGTCAAAGCACTTTTACCTTGTTGCGCAATGTTTCAATGTACTTGCACGAAACAGACTGAAAACAAGACAGATAATGCAGATGCAGCGTATAACTAATGACGATGATGATGCTCAGATAGTCGATTTATAAACCTTAACCTTATATCTTGGCTTCACTATTAGAAATTTCCCGCGAAGACATACATCTTATCTATATATTGTGTTAGTTAAAAAGTAGTCAAATCAATCAACCTCATACAGTATATTTACCAATAGCGTATGATGAAAACCATACCTTGGCTCTCTGAGCGCCGTGATTCGTTGCTTTTATCCAATCCCCGGGCTTTTACGGGCCACTTCATTCATTTCTAAAAGTAGAGTAGAAATGGCAGAGCACGTTGGCGAGCGATTTTGTCACCGTGTGCTAGTGATATTGCTGAATCTGAATCCTTTTGTAACTCCCGTGCCTTCAAGAGCAACCTGGTCACACTGGACAGAGCAAGACAAACACAACAAATGAGCCTTTGCGTGCTTTCAGCCTTATTGCATGGGGTAATTTTTCATTTAGAAAAATATGATAGAAACGTTAGAAATGATAGAATTAAGGATCTTGATTGTCTCGTAGGTCTCCCGGTAGCCCCAAAGTGCACAGAGCGAGCAGTGAAGATTGCTAATGCTATTTCTAGCGACTACGAGCTTGTAGTGTTGCAGGAAATTTGGCATATGCGAGAACGGCACCTCATCATTTTTAAAGCTCAAGAGATTGGGTTCTACTATTACCATTACATAATCCGGCCCGGCTGTGGGATTCCCATTCCCAATGGGGGTGGAGTTGTTTGGTACGGGACTATTGGTGCTGTCCAACTTTCCCATTTCCTGTGCTTTGTATCACTCGTTCGGCCTAAGTGGAAGACCTTTTGCTCTTCATGAGTCGGACTTTTGTTGGCAATAAAGGTGTGGGTCTGCTCCGGATCGAAACACCTGCTGGACAGATTGACGTGTACGTAATGCATCTACTGGTCAATTACAATATAAGAGGCAAACCTGGAATAGGTGATTTTTACCAATTGCACCAAACTGATCAGAGTTACGAATTAACGCAGTTCATTACGGCTACGAATAAAAACAGGCTGACAATTGTCTGTGGAGACTTTAATTCATCTCCTGATTGTTTAGTACTGAAAATACCACGTCAGTTGTTGTGTCTGAGAGACGCATTTACCGATGCAAGTAACGATATGGATGGCTTGGCTTTTGCATCACCTGAGAACAAGTTTTCGCATAGAGATCACCCCATGCGAATGGACTATGTCATGTACAAGATTGCTAAGCAGCCAAAGAACAAGTCGGCTTGGCATTTGGTGAAGAGCAGCATCTTTAAAGGCTTCTTTATCGATGCTCAAGGTGAAAAAACGCCCTTGTCAGACCACTTTGGCGTCAGTGCGGAGTTTACATTCAGTGAACCTAGAGCGCATAGTTGCAAGCAGCTGGATGGTTTCGATGTTGTGACCACGAATATAGTGGAATCATTAGGTGTGACGATAGAGCGCTCCTGTCCTTCGACAAAGTGCTCACACTGTGATGCAATAGAGCGAGAGCAGAGCGAGGAAGACAAATTTACCGCGGACGCTACGTGTCTTCAAGAGTTGCAGAATACGCTTTTTGCTGGCCGCAATCAGGCAATGTTGACACGGCAAATTCGGCTTAGACGTGCCGTCGCATTCTTCGTTGCAGATCTAGCGGTTTTCATGACTCACGTGATGTCAATCGTGGTGTCAAGCTGGTCCTGGGTTGTCGTGCTGCTGTTTGGTATGATCAGTGTGACCGAGTACATTCTGACATTCTATTTCCTTACGTTTGAGTGCACAACGTTTATTGAGCTCACGATTGCAGCTCTCCCAAGCATCGCCTACAGTATTTACCAGCGTAAAAGCAAATGAAAGTAAGCTAAAAGAAGCAGAGGATGTCTTCGCGGACACGTGAGGGCATGCTGATAACTACGAAAATGACCCCTTTGACATTGAAGCACGAACTCTTTCGAGCATAATCGCTGGGAGTGACAAAGGAGTTCGGTGATCGGTCATGCATCGAGGGCCCTTTTTCATGCCTGATACCACCTTACGCCTCGTCTGAACGAGGGAGGCGGGGGGGGGCTCTTAAACCGATGCACTTTGACCAACTTAACTCATCGCATCAGCCCGTCGGAATCATAACACTGCCAAGTCCAACAAGACGTCATGAAATCCATGACTGAAACTATTTGGTGACAGACACGATGTAAGAGTTACCGTTGCTGCTGCAGTTGCTGTGAGTTTGGGACTTTCGTTGCTACTACTCCACTTCAAGAAATCCAAGACAATGGAAGCTCGGAAGCTGCCACCCATGCCTAGAACCACTCTCCCATTTCTCAAGAACATTCTGGACGCCGGTGGAAATGCTGAACGGTTCCATGACTGGCTTAATGAACAATCCATCGAGTTCGACAACCGACCGTGGATGTTCGCAATCCCCGGACGTCCTGCTACCATTGTGATCTCGTCACCTGAAATGTTTAAAGATGTGCTGGTGACTCAAGACGATATTTTCCTTCGTGGACCTGTAGGGCAGTACATCAGCAGAGATATTTTTGGCAATGGGATGGTCATATCCGACGGGGATCCATTGTACTTTCACCGTAAAACAGCTAGCCACCTCTTCTCTATGCAGATGATGAAGGACGTCATGGAAGCGACAGTGTGCGAGAAGTTAAGCGTGTTTTTGGATGTCTTGGACATTTACGCGAAGCGTGAACAGATTTTTAGTGTCAAGGAGGAGCTAAGCCACTTTACTATGGCTACCATTGCAAAAATTGGATTTGGCCTAGAGCTCGACACACTCCAGAACAGTCCCGATCGTGATGCAGACCACGAGTTTTTTGAAAGCTTTCAACGAAGGATCAGTGGTATTTGGTGTTCGTATTTAATCTCCAATGTGGCTTTGGAAGCTGAAGATGTTCCTGAACATTGGCTGGGAGAAGATTCTCGTGTATAACACTAGGACCATGCACACATTTATAAACAAGGTGATCTTGGAGTCGATGAAGAAGAAGGCGGAGCATGCTGCTAGAGGAGAGAAGATGGTCACTTGTGACTTGGTCACGTTGTTCATGGAGAAGAGGCTAATGCAAACAGAAGACATGCAGATTGTGAACAGCGACATTACCATTATGCGTGATATGGTAATGACCTTTGTGTTCGCCGGCAAGGACTCGACAGCACACAGTATGGGCTGGTTTATTGTCAATATGAATCGATACCCAGAAGTGTTGCGCAAGATTCGTAAAGAGATGAACGAAAAGCTGCCCGGTCTTTTGTCAGGCAAGATTAAGGTGCCTACACAAGAGCAGATCCATGGCCTTGTGTAGTTAGAGGCTGTTGTGAAGGAAAATATTCGTCTGCACCCATCCACGGGTTTCATCGTGCGTGAGGCTATGCAAAACACGACGTTGGTCGACGGCACATTTGATGAGAAGGGCCAAACTTTGATGGTATCATCTTACTGTAACGCGCGTAACAAACAAACATGGGACGAAGATACGCTCGATTTCAAACCCGAGCGTATGATGGACGAAATTACGGGAAACTTACGGGTATTTTCTCCGTACATTTTTAGTGGCTTTGGATCAGGTCAGCACGTGTGCATCGGTCAGAAGTTTGCAATGATGCAGATTAAATTGGCTATGGCTACGCTCTTCAGCAAGTTCGACATTAAAACGGTAGAAGAAGATCCATGGAAGTTCACGTATGAGTTCTCACTCACTATTCCGGTGAAGGGCCCGTTGAATGTAAAAGTCACGCCTCTAACAATCAGCAGCTTAAAGAGCCAAGAAGAGCAAGCCCTTGATGATTAATGCACGAATTTTCGATGGTTTGATTACTTGGAGGAAGCAAAAGTTTCATTTGAAACACTGCAAAAGGAGTATTCACCGCAGAGAAAGCCAAAATCACGTTTTGGAAGTCAATTGTGGGGCATCATAAGATTGAGTCACATAGCTTCTAGGCAAATGCTGATACAGCTATACAGCTGAAGTGAATAAGCATGCCCACAGCATTTTCTGAGGTCATCTTACGAGCTCATTTTTGTCGAGAATTCTTAATTTTGAATGAGCCGTCATGCCACATTCATCAGGATTTGATATCTCATGACAGTACTCACTCCTCAGTGACGCAGGCAAGTACGGCGTTGGTTTTTGTAAGCCGGATAACTGCCACGCAATGAAGTCACGCGTGTCTTCACAACCGAAAAACTTAATGTCTTATGAAAATTTGCGTGGTCACTTAGAACTCAACTTTCACTCACGACAGCTGCAGCCTACAGTACATGCAATTTCTATTGTGTCGAAGATCGGCTAATGTCCACACAACACATGATGTGAGCAAACGATGCCGCTAAACATGTTCGTGTACTCGTTTCACGTATTTGTGATTTCATTTGAAGGTACTTTCAATGGGAAGAATTTCTCGGCGCGGTACCGAGTCAGAAATTTTCTGAAGCTAGCATACCAAGGTTTGCTGCACCCTACCAACTACCCGCGCCGTCTTATTATCTTCGCATTTCGGACAACATTGGCAATTATATTTGGAATTTGCTGCTCAACTTTCATCTTTGCTTTCAGTTCTACTGCGCCTACAGCCATCGCAATGGTTGCCGAAGATAATATTGGCGGTACCTATGGAAATACGGTGAACCGCGTCGGAGGTTTGGTCGCTGGAACGGTGGTGCCATCCATATTTAGCTTCTTCGTGTGCGCAGTGGTGGATGACGACGTGTACAATACGCTGAGCAACATTGTATTGTTCGTGTGGACTGTTGGGTCCATGTACGTATGGTTTAGTGGCCGATATATGGCACTGGCTGGAATGACGTCAGCTTTCATGGCTGCCTCGGTGATACTTGACCACGGTTGCCGAAATACGTCGTCCTCAACGACGGTATCATACGAAGTCTCACTCAGAATGCCCTAGGTATTCTCATCCTGATGGTTGTGGAACTTGTGATTTACCCTCGCAGCTCGCGCGGCCTACTTCGTAGTAACATCCAGCAATTATTGATGCAGTACCGCCGAGTGTTTCGTGACGTATTTCGTCACCACATTGCGTACAACCGTCCAACACGCATTTCCACAGGACCTCTCACTGAAGAAGACATCGAGACAGCTAATGCTCTGCTAAGTCGCACTCAGATTAAGGCGTTGAAATTTCAGATGAAGACCGTAATCCCTGAGCTGTTGAAGACTCAAGCGAACCTCCTAGATGGCTCTACCATGGAGCCAACCTTGTGGAAGCCGCCGTTCTCTACATCGAAGTACACAAAAGTTTTAGCCGTTTGCCGCGAACTTCTCGATCGAATAGATGTTTTTGTGGACCTCATTGACTGGCACGAAAATCGTCGAAGCAGCGGAAAAGACAAGCTTTTGCGACGTTGGCATCAGAGTCGGATCGACGCTGAATGCACTGCAGCATTTACTGCAGCAAAGGAACCTCCCTCTTCGACTTCAGCAGCCGTCGCAGAAATGGTGGGTGAGGAAAGGTTTCAAACTGGAAACTCTTTGTCACCACAGTCTCCATCCTCACCGCTGCCCAACGTAACTACGACATCGCCTGCTGTGGCAAAAATCAAGTGGGACCAGAGTTTGGCAATCGTAGAGGTTGGTATTGTCGAAGCCTTTGATACACTAGCGACTTTGTTCGGAGTAGAGTTTTCAGGCTCAAATGCAGAAGATCACGCGATCTACTTGCAGATGAAGGAAGCCTTTCGTATCGCCGAAGTGCACCGTCACGGTGTTGTAGATGTCTCGGAGCTTAGTCTTTTGCTGGAAAAGCTCATGCCGTACGCTGGTAGCCAAGGCATCGGAGGAATGGAACAGTATGTGGACGAATTCATGCAGCTGGTGGACAAGGACAACGACGGCAAAATTTCGTTCAGCGAGTTCATGCAGGCGCTAAACGAAGGTTTTAGACTGGAGCTCGAGATCTACGATGATCAACCGCAAGTTCCGATATCGGACGTGGTGACGCCCAATGGAGCACAACCTACTCCTTCCAGTGGCATTTGCTTGCTTCATAGAAGCACACTTCGACGCAACTCTATCCAATCCATGCAGGCAGACGAATCTGAAGATCCTTCAACTCCTGGCAGACAAAAGCACGTTACTATTGTTGCTCCGTCACCTCGATCCCATCGATCATCCAATTTCGTCGACATGGCAGCCTACCAGATGTCAAATCTCACATCTACCCTTTCCGAGGATACGAGGCCAATGATGAACCCCAGCCGACGATATCTCTTCCGTGGTATGTCATCAGCTAGCGAAAGTTCCGCCCCTGAAGCTTTGCTCAATGTCGAGGCTTTCACACTGACAGAAGCTGCGATGGCTTTAAAAGAGAGTTATGGTGAGTGTTTACTGGGATACGTAGACGACCACAGCAAACGCGTAACGATGGAGGATTTCAATCTTATGAGCTGCGTCATCAGTGCTTGTGAAAATATCGCCGAGAATTTGACACGTTTGAACACACTGGCGGCTTCATAGACGACGACCAGTGCATCGTGGTAGAACACTTGATAATTCTCAGTTTGCCATGTACTCATAGCGTAAGCAAAAGACTTACGTAGTGTAAGGGTCGGCTTGCGAGACGCATGCTTCAATTAGTTGCTGTACAAAGATCTTTACGAAGGTGAAGACTACAGTGGCAAGTGCTTGAATTGAAAAGCGGACGTATTGGCTTCGCCAATTTTACCACTAAAGCATAACGCAGAGAAGATATCGCGCTGGTGTTGCGGTTTCTTCTCCATTGATGAAGCTGAATGTGTATACAAGACGCGCGTCAAGACAAGTCACCTCGTCGAGACTCGGTTAGTGACAGAGTTCCTTTAGAAACTTCATGACACCCGACAAACAGCCATAGCGTTATCAAGTGTTGATCAAGCGCAAGCTTTTCGAAGCTGCGCACTGCCAGGTTGGACTTGGCTAAATAATTAACTACCTGCGTGACACGAGCTCAGACTTTACTCTGTGCTGAGAGCAGGATCAGGCCGGTAAACTTGTCGATAAGCGAACATTCTGCGGCATCTAAACATGATACTACATACATTAAGTGACAGCCCGATAGAGAAATCTAAATGTGCCGGTTGGCCTACAAAAAGAATCGAAATACTCACTCAATATAACAACGCAAAGCAAATACAATGAAAAAAAATTCAAAACTAATAAGTAAATGTATTAGTTTTAAAAACAAACAATCAGCTCACATCCTTCTTCTCGTCTTGGTCTTTGTCGTATAGTCTTATCCTTCTTCTTCCGCAAATCTCATAAAGCGAATATATTCTTTTTCCCAATTTCGACCAGCGAGAGCTTTGACTTTATCCGAAAAATATTTATCGTGGTATCTCCATTTGTCGAATAATAATTTCTTAAAGTCGTCTTCCAAATTGGCCGCTTTAATTTGTCTAACAAATTCTTTTTCTCCATCTTGGTAATATTCTCGAAAGTAAGCCATTAATTCTTCGTTTGATCTGATTTTTGCTTTTTTTTCAATGACTCAAGTTTACCTTTTGAGACCATGTCAGCTATACTTTCATACTTATTTGCATATGCCGCAAAAATCTGTTTATTTGGCAAATCGTCATCCAGATTATAATACTTTGTGCTCGACGAAGCCCCTCCAAACAAGTCCTTTAAGCCCTTTAAGCCACCAACCCTTTCTTCGCCATCGCCATCAGCTAAAACGTTGGTGCTGGCGATGGCGACTGCCGCAACAAGAAGTACGGGGTAATAGAGACGCATCGGGTACAACTTGTGCACTGGTGAACGAAAAGTGGAATGAGCTCTGGTCAACGGACAGGATTGAGCCGTTCCCCTTCACAGCCTTGTTAAAATGCGTAAAGAGCCAGCCACCAGCAGAATTGTCTATCTCTGAGATAATTCTTGTAAGACGCGGCTAGACCAAGTGCAAGCAGCCATTTTTGATGTAGTGTTGTCGTAAGAACAGCCTTTTTATCTTTATTAGATAGGATTCACAGGTAATTGATACTTTACCAAGGTATATAGTACTAGGAAACACTGGTGGCGGCTGTTCGCATCGCTTATAGTGCCGGACCGTATCAGCTGATCATTAACATAGCCTCGGTCGTGGTGTCTACAACCATGGCCAAATGTTTACTATATAAGAGACACTACACTTGCAAGCTTCTATGCTCGGGACAGTGTCGATAATTGGCAAGCCTATCCTATGGTCGATCTGTCGTACCCCATGGAAATCCAGTTCGGAGTAATGTCGTTAACACATACACATAGACTGCATGCCAGCTAGTCGTTTCTTTGTGGGCGATACAAGATCCTAGTCTATTTTGATGAGTTTAGACATGCAAGCGATCGAGCGATCGTTTCCAGTAAGCGGATGTATTCCATCAAACAATATGGTATTCTCATTAAGAAGGTGAAACACGTGGTACGCATGACTTGTGTTTTAACAATATGACGACATATTACATCCCCAAGCAAAGACCTCCAAAGAGCCGGCATACCAGTCCTCTTACCTTGGGCAGGAAGTCCTCCATCATGACGCCTTATCTCTGCTGCGTGCGCCAAAAAGAGGCTGCACAGCGTGTTAACTTGACGGAGAGCAATAGGCACGAAATCCTGAAGAGTGAGAGCTCCGATCAAAGAAATTAGCCAGCCTGGTCCGTCTGGGACAGCAAGTATAGTACCCGGCTTTACTGTCAAGGCGCCACCTGTTCCTTGCATGTGATCGGATATGACCAACAATCTCACATGCACCTTGTTCATTAAAAGGCCTTTGTACTGTCTTACCTCTTGTCTTTGTAGCCTACTTGATTTCTTCCTTCTTTGCTGTGGCAAAGGTGGTGTCTGACCTTCTAGGACCAAATTTTGCTTGTACGACTTTGCCTTCAGAGTCATGTATATCAATCGAAATATACCGTTGAATCCTTCTAAATTCTGCAACATGTCTGACTCGACAGCAGTAAGGGCAGATAAAGACAACAAGCTGTGGCTGAGCGATGGAAATGATAAGAGCATTAGCGGATGTCTATGGGCTTTCGAATATCTACAGTTAGCTCACCACGCAGGGACGAGGAGGCAGATAATGCGATTTAGAATCCTACTGTGCCGCCAACATTGATGAGACATCGTTTTCAACGTGCGCACGCATCGACTACAACGTCGGCAAATCTAATCTTGACGACTCAACCGGCTCAATATTTCACTGTTCAAAGAACTTGTCGCATTCAGCTTGAAATGTTGAATAATGCCGGTGTTTAGTGGCTTTAGGTATCGTATATATCAACAAGTGTCTTTGGACATTGTATATCTCCATGTCAATAGTCCCAGGGGCATTGTCGCAGTGGTAGAAGAAGTATCTTTGCGAGGCATTCTAATTGAAGCCCACAACTACGTCAACTGAAATCCATTGTTCAGGAAAATTGGCCTTCTTTAGGAAGTCTCTTCCATCTTGGTTTGGGCGGCTACACTTAGATTATGTTCATTGTAGATGAGGTGCACGTTGCATGATCATGAACTGCACAATGTTAGAGCTAAGAAGAAAAGTGAGTTTGATCCATTGAAATAATCCACTAGCAGTGTGCATGCATTAACCATTTTCCAATGAACTCATCCATTCGTTGTTGATTGACGTACATCAGTGGTGTTGGGAATAACAAAAGTAACTGCAGCAGCATTAGCTTTTGACCGCGTTAACTTCTTGAAAAGTTTTTATCTCCTTGCCTGAATGTTCAGGCCACTTCTCTTCACAGAACGACTGTGCAGCGCACGCGTAAGCCTTCCACGCATCTGGACCTTACGCGTCGTTAATACCGAGACGCAAGTCGTCCCGACGGAGAGCTTCCTTGATGACAGTAACGTTGGCGTGGAAAACTCCGTTTAAGATGGCTGCGTCTTTCTCCAGCACCTTCATCTCGGAAGGGTATTTTGTTACCCCTACCAAGAAAACTGCTACCATCGGAAGCTCAGCGTTCTCCCGCAACAATTCGTAGTCGTCGATTGCGTGTGTCAATCGGTGCTGAGCATGAAACACTTCCAGATAGTATGTGTAAGTCTTGGCCAACTGCTTGAAAAGTCCATCGACTGATCGACTCTCTCCATGCAGTTGCGTCTGCGTACTCGCATCGTCTCCTGATCCTCCAATCCCTCCAATCCCTCCAGCGCCTTCCAATGTGTCCAACATCTCTTGCAACTGGGACGCGACGCGCATGAAGCACGACACTAAGCATGATATCAATCACATCGTGGTCTTCCTTGCAAGCTAGCACCCAGGACCCTGCCTCCTTTAACTTTCCGTACGCTGCATTCTCCTGAAGCAGCACAATGAAAACCGCCAGTACTTGAGTCGATAGTAATCATACTTCATTTGCCGCTGATTCACTTCTTCATACTTCTGAATGGTCTCGGGAAACCAGATTGTCACATTCAGAGGCCGCCGTTTGTCGAAAATCTTGGAGCCCTTTTCTTTAGTGCCCTTGCTGCTGTGACAGAAGGACCCTGCAACTGTTCTTCACCTCGATGAGCTCGCACAGCATCCACGAAAGCCAGCACACTGTCACAAGTAGACCCGCTATGCTCCAGTGTGGAGTAGAACGTCGACAACAAACACACAATCCGCGCCAGTACGTAGCGCGATGGATGGAAATACCGGTCTTCGTCTTGAATTGACTCCAGTGCCATAATAATATTCAATGCAAGCCATCCTCGTGCAAGAGTGACACACAATTTACGAATCGAATCGTTTCTGGCAGCAGCCGCCAACAGTGCGAGAATGCCATCCTTCGTGGCAGCGCTGACTCATTTAAGGTCACGGACCGCAGCAGTTTTTGGGCTAGCGCATATTCCATCGTCATCTTTCTTAGTACTGTGTCTGTCCATCGACTTCTTTGGTTGACGCTATGTCAAAACTCTCATCATCATCACCGTCTCCACCGTCTGCTTCTTTCTCCTCTTCATGACGACAAACCAAGCGCAGCGCCGACACTGATGGCAAATCGCTGGTTGTGCTTAATTCGCAATGTCTGAAGAGCATAAAAGGCATGAACAAGAGCATGTATTCTGTCTCCCTCGTCACGAGCTGACTCCGCCTTAAAATAGCTGTCTGCAACTTCGTTAACCGTTGATAGCGCCTCTGAATCAGACCATTTGTGTTTACGAAGTTCACACCAACGTCTTTTCCTCAATGTTTTGCCAATCATGTATTGCAGACGAAAGTGAGCTTCCGTGAGCATCTTCCTTGGATTCGCAAATTGCCCACCCCCTCCGGAAGATTGGCTGGCGTATCGCTTATTAAACGCGAGTACATCTCGTGCGAAAACAAAGCAAGGTTTGTCTCCTTCATCAAACTAAACTCTTGCAAAACATTAAACAGCAACAAACCACACTCTTCGTTGCACTCAATAATCTTGTTCTGTAAAGCATCCAGCTCTTTGTCAAAAGTATTTGTTTCCTTGTCGACACTTTTGTCAGCGTTGTCACGCTTACTTTGTCGTTTCAAATTGTGTTTCTTAATAGCCTCTTCGGCCAACTGCGCAGCCATATCAAAGCATCGTCGTGTAAACTCAATTACTTAAGCGATATATATCGTGGCATACGTCAATTACTTGAGCGATATATATCGTGGCATACTCTTCGATCAAAACTTGGCTACGAAGCGTTTCGAATCGGGCATCGTTCCCTTCCGTTTCGTCGTTACAACCCTTCAGCTTCGAGGCCTTGCTACCCACTTTGTTTTTATCGACACTTTCACCTTGCCACTCTTTGATTTTCTTGTATGAGTTCCACTCCAAAAACGACATTTTGGAATGAAAATACGTCAAGATTACTATAAGCTTGTTCTTTCCGTGAACGCTCTGGGCCCATGGCAAGTATCTTGGTTGTATATCACTGGAATGCTCGAACTCTGAGCTTCCGTCCGAGCACAGCAGCAAACGCATCTGTAGCTGCGTGATATAATTCCTTCATTGTCTTTCCCAAGCGCACCCAGGAGTCAACTCGATCTGGATGATAGTACAAGACATCTTTCATCAAAAACTGCACTCGCTCTCGAATATGCTGCTCCAATTCCATTAGCTCCACCAGGTTTCCTCTCCGTTTTGCTCGTCCAAGACTGAAGTTTGCATCCATCAAATACCACAAATGACCCACGCAAACTTTATCTGGTGATTCTGTCGTCGTGTCATTAGCATCAAATGGCAACGGCAATGTAGTTGTCTTCTGCAGCAGGCCTCTTGGAGCCAAGTACGCTTCTAATAAAGGAGAAACTGCAGCCGGTTGCGCAGAGAGAGCAAAATAACTGGAGCCTGAGAGTGCATCTCGGACTGCGTATAGTAACTTAAGTCGTTCTTTCTTTTGGCTGTTGTTTTTGGCCTTTGTGGTCAAAAGTATCGGCACAGCAAAGCGAATCAACCGCATTGCATCCTCATGTCTAGTAAATAATTTACCATCTTGGAGTGAAGCAAAGGTGGACCTTCATTTGTGATCTTGGCATCCAGGCAGAATTTGCACGTCGTATAAACAGCAATAGCATTGACAAGCCTCCATCTGGAAGAGGTACTTCCCTTCGTTCACGCCCTCTTCCTTATCAGCTTCTTCATAACTCTCCTTATCCGATTTCTTCGTAAGTTTTTCTTCGTCCCAAATGCTTGCCTTTTGCACATACTTGTTCAATAGCACTGTACTTACTTCGAGAAAGCACGAGGTCTTGCGTGTATCGGCAGCAGAACCAGTGTCAGAAAAGTACGTCAAGCTGCAGATAACATGTTTACCAAGTCTATGGTAAAGAAGATGTATCTACTCGACGAATTGGGTCGGCGATGTACTCAGTAGAAAACTACTTGCATACAACTGCAAGAATAAGACGATCCCATTGCCAGATAGCAGTCTTGAGTGTCTTGCCATCACGCTGCGCTATAATCTTTGCCTCTCTTTCACCAAAATGCTGCACAATGCCATTAGAGCAGACCGTTTCGGGAGCAGCAATGACAGAGCAGTCTCGCCGTGGTCGCGACAGGCTCCATTCAAAAAGCGCAGGAGCTCTACAATTATCGCTCGAATGCGATCAAGACGCGGTTGTTTTTTCTTAGCTGCATAAGGCACCAATGCCAACAACTCTCGGTACTCCTCACCCGGCAGGGATCGACTCAAGTACAATAGTTAACCCATGGCATCCAATCCGACCATTCACTGCGAGCTATCATCACATAATCCATGGGTGTTGTCGTTATCAGCTTCCAACACAACACGTATCATCGATAGAACATTGTTTGGAGAATCAAAGCAAAACATATTAATCGCTGTAAGCATTTCACGCACGAACCACGCAGCATCAATCTGTAGTCAGGGTTTGTAAGATGTTCCGACTGTTTTTGCGTGAGCCGGGCTAGCAAGAAATTCAGTGCGGCAAGAGCATTTGTACACGCTTCATCGGGCGAGTTTTTCTTGATAGTAACGTCTTTCGATACAGCCAAGCCATCCAGAAAATCAATCACATAGTAAAGAGTCGTCAACAAGAACAAGGTCGTGTCTTCGTCCGAACATTTTGGACTCTGTCCAAGTGAATGTAGCACCATTTCAATAAATTAGTGCTTTCGCCACGCTCCGAATGTTCATCCTCGTCACACTCGTTCAAAAAAGTCTGTCATCCGTGGCACGTGCTTACAGGGGAAGAAGTGCCCCAATAAAAAACGATACAACATGATCGTGGTCTCTCCCAGATTCAAACAAACGTCGAGCTTTAGCACATACGTCGGTATAGCGCAATCCTGATATTTTCATCCAAGATTCCTCATGTAATTTCACCGTCAGCTTTTTGGTTCGTTAGATCAACTCGGAACTTGCAATCGTTGCTTTGATCGTCGTCTTCATTAAACCCAACAAGTTTCTCTCTGCATTTCGTAAAGTAGTATTGAGCCATCAAAGGTTCCCCACATCGTTCATACATGCGCGCCATGAACCAAAACAAGCGCAGGAATTCATCTCCTATTGGACGACATAAAGCATCCTCAGAGTTCTCTAGCCAGCCAAACGAACACAAAAGCTTTTGGGTCTCAGCCACCTGAATCTCCACTAGTCTTTTTATTTTGCAACGCCGGACTAGCTGCTGCAGAAGCACATCAAACTGAAGCTCCAGCAAGAATAGCTGAGCACCAAGCGATAATCCATTCCCCGTGAAGCGACTACCTTGAAGAAGCGAGTGGTCCGCAACATTAATGACGCTGCGTTGCGTGGATGTCACTTCTATAGTAGCATCCAGGTCTCCGTTTGATGGTTTTTCCAGCCACATGCACACTTTGTGAATTACTTCAGCCTCGCTTTCTAATTTAAATACAACCACTGGCCACATTAATGGAGGTAAAGTCGTATCCAGTCCATTATCCCACTAGGTAGATATTCACTCACCACCACGTTCACTGATTAAAAAAGACAAAACCTGGGACGACGATGTTTTATACATTTGTAGCGTTTATTCATTAAGACAGGTATAATATAGACTACTGAGCGTTGTTTAAGACCAATATATATACTTAAAGTATAGAGGTTATGAATTTATAGAGTATTTATGGAGACAGGGGTTACGGTCGAAACGACACTAAAATATGTCACATGCATTAACATATTTACATACAACTTCTTATTGTCTAAATAAATGTCTGTCCTAATTATCTATTCTTTAACCTCTAAATTCTTTCTAAATTCCAATAAATGACGAAAAAGCGTCGAAAACTCCATCCGCATCTTCCCCGCACAGTCTCAACGACCGACATTTGTTTACGTATACAACGAGACAACCCCCTTATCAGACAATCGACGGCTTTTAAGTGTTTGAAATCTGGCGTATCATCTGAGACGGTGGCGCATTTCCAAGCGCTTCAAAGGTCGCCAGGTGCCGTGGCCTTGGCGGACGTTTTTGAGTGGGTAGGGGACGCCCTTCTTGGGGAATTAGTTGGGCGTTGTTTATTGTCCCAATTTGGTTGGTCCCCCTTAAGTGCGCGGGTGTTCCGCAACTTAAGATTAGCAGTAGTAAGTAACCGCAACTTAGCGCAGGTATACGATGCCATGGGGTACGGCATTGACGTGAAAAAGAAGTTGAAAATGAAGGATAAAGCTGATGTTGTTGAAGCAATAGTGGGTGAATTGGTTCTTAAGTTGCACGAACCAACGATCAATACCGAAGGCTACCGAGTCCATTTGGATACAGTGGTCGCTACAATGTTACGTACTCATTTTATGGACCAAGTACAGGCAGAAAAAGGACAGGATGAGACAAGAATGACCGTCAAAGGGCCATTAAGTCTCGGCGTGAATTTGTTTACGTGTTTACCAGCCGAACAACTGGATGAAACAACGGGAAAGGTGATCGTAACAAACGGAACACTTTTTGACACGGATGATACAAACAAAACACCATATGGAAATCTTTTAGACGAGTATAAACGAGACAAGGAAAAAGAGACAGAGGGTCCTGTCTTGCCTGATTACTATACAAAAAGGACTTGTAATACGGTAGAAAATGACAAACTAGTGGACAAGATGGCGACTATCAATTGTATTCAAGTGGCCATGATGCAGATGGATACTAACCATATTTTACGCACATCAAGGGAGATTTTTCAAGTGTTTAAGATTTATGGCATGGCCGTCCTTTCGGAACGAACGAGTTTGTCGTTGGCAGTACCACATGTATCCTTGAAGTCTCAAGAGCACATTAAATGCTCGAATATTGTTACACCAGCAAGACTTACACGTCAAAGGCAGCTTATACTCTCGGTGGCAAACCTTGCAGCATGTGCGACTCGGTTGGGAATTGCAGCACCAGTTGGTCGAGATGTAGATATTGATGATGATGATGATGAAAAAGTAGCTGCATGGCGATTGCAAGAAGAACATGGGCTTGCAAATACTTTACGTGCTTTTGTAGGCTTTCACAGCGCTGTAACTATCACATCGACCTCTGCAATTCGCCATAGCAATGAACTAGTGGACACTATTTGCACGGCACTGTACGATGCAGCCTTTCCCAGTCGAACGGAATCGAGTGCTTCTGCATTGCGGTCGTCTAAGATCCCTGAGAGAGAACCACTGATGGCGATGATGCAATCAGTGCACGAGGCGCGATTGTTCATGAGCAGCAAGACGTGTGAGAGTTTGCACAAACAAGGGGAGAGACCAGTATCTGATGCAGCGTTGAATCGTGAGCGAAATCTATCGAAGTCATCGCTCTTGTTCCGACAGTATGGCTCCAATATGCTCAAAGATTTTTTAGAGACACAGAACAAGGAGCAAGAAGCGCAGCAAAAGGAAACAGCGTTTGCATCACCGACACGACGAAAGAAGAAACCCAAGCAGAAAAAGCTAGCTGACAGTTTGGCTGCCAAAGCAGGATGCATTACTCAAAATCTCGAGCGTTTCCTACATCGTCGATTTCTTTTCTGCCTTGAAGAAATTGTGGTACTGTTTGCACAGCATAAAACGGAAGCTTGCCGAGCGCAGATCACCGCATTTCAACACGACCTTGTGCCGTGTGTAGATGAGTTGAATTTCCGAAAGTGGGAGGTCTCGACAAGTACACTGACGTTGGCGATGCGAGACAGCTTTTTCAGGATGTTGCTGCACGACATTTGCCAGTTTCACGCCATCATATCGTCAAGCAGGAACACGCGGGACGGAAATCGGATCACCCAGCTTCGACTGCCGCTTCATTACACGTGGGCAAACATTGACGCTCGGGTCACCTCGGAACAACACGCTCTCGTCTAAGCTGCTCCGTGTGGTCGCCCATTGTTGAAAGCTGTGGCTGCTGTTGGGCTGGTCACTTGGACGACTTTGGCAATGGTAAATGCTGAAAACCGCTACGAGGCTTACTTGGAGTAGCTGTGCTATGGGTTGATTAACAATGTAAGCGATTCATTGTCGTCGAGGTTGGATGTTACGTCTTTGAGGCTTTATGCGTCACTCACTTCGTCAAGGCTCAATTTGAAGCGACCAAATTCTTATGACATTCGATGAAAGTGCAACAAGTGCAGGCGTCAGTCTGGATGAGCTTGAGCTGGATAGCTGACGGTGTATAGAAAACTTTCTTCTCCAGACTGCCCACCAATATTTTGAAAAGTTATTGGATATGTGTATGGAGAGATTTAGCTGCGACGATTACAAGCTCTCGACTGGATGCCTCATTTATTTCATGTCTGCAGCTACGGGCTGCTCTGTGCTGACGTGCTGCAATCCATTATCATTTCGAATACGTTTGAGCATACACCTTTTGTGAGGTCTCGAGCGTTTTTGTTGGCCAACATGACACTTCGTCCAACGATGACAGTTTACATCACTCGACATGCTCAACGGAGGTAGGTCAAGACTACTTGCTCGGGCACTGTAGGAAGAAAAGCAGGCGATCGTACTCTGCTCATGGAATGACACCCGCACTCGCATGGTTGATTAGAATTTTGCTTGAATCTTGGAGGAAAGACAAAGTAAGTCTTTATCGGTGTGTGGTTTCGGAATCAATGAGCCGTTACGATCGTTTAAGGCCGACAAGTTCCGAATCACCAGGTCTGCAAAGCTGAGACGAGCAGTAAAGAAGAGCTTCAGAAGGAAGTCCTCTCTTTTTATGTGAGATTGGCGCGCGAAGGCATCATTCAGATCTATCCTCTTCTCGATTGCGTAAATTTGCTGGAGTCGACATTGAGACCATGAGATCGAGAAACTGAGCTGTATCTTGGTTGAGAAAATACGGTATCATCAGCAAGAAGTACGTCCGAACTTGAACACTCTAATCGAGTGAGCAGCCATAGTTCGAGCAATCAGCATTTTTCCAACAGCTAGTTTGGCAAAAGGGAAGGCTACGCTTCACGTTCTGATGGTTGAGTACTTTCAAGAAGCAACAAAGCTTTCGAAGCGCTGCTACATCCAGCCTTAAGAGCTTGTGGACTTGTCTGATGTCGTGGGATGAAATGAAATACAGAAAGATGGTATATACCATCACATGGAACTACACGAGCACGACGTCGGACAACCCTTCCTTAATTACAAGAGATCATTCAGTCTCGAGCTTTTTCGTCCCACTCGATTTTCTGCCGATACCTTTTGCGACTCGAGAAGCGATGACAGTGACAGTTGTCGACTTGTTTCGGTAGACGACAGATTGTCGACTTGTGAACTTCGTTGTGTTTGTCCTATGGTTGACATGAACGGACTGCTGGCTGTATTTTTAATGGGAGTTCAATGTTTTGAGAAGTTCACGAGAGCTGGAGGCACGACTATTCGTGCGAAGGATCTCCTACGCTACCAAGTTGGGATTAGGAATTTGACCTGAATACCAGACACAAGCGAGTAGCTCTTCGGTTTTCCAATACTTGTAGAGATCTGAATGTTGACTTCTACGCCACGCATTGATACTGCATATAAGCGAAGTAGCAAACTCCTGCACACCAGCAAGACGATCGTCAAGAAAATTGTACTCGCTAGTCAACGACGAGGACCAACGCGAGGTGGTACATTTGGGCCAACTTTTCGAATCAGGACATAGTATCACGCGAAGTGCACACTCGCCAAGTTTTTGAGAAGGTGGTTAGCTAGAGGTCACGCATGACTGAATGCGGCTGTAAGGCGGCAAATAAGCTCACAAACAGCAACAGCAACAGCACCAACGACTTACGTCATAGCAATACGATACCGAAACGGACTCAGTGGACAATGACGAATCACGACGTAGAATTGTTAGCTTTCTTGAAGACTTTTTCAAGATTCCATCTGAAGAATTTGCACGCCGTCGTGTCTAAACTTGGTACTTGTGAAGATTGCTGGGAGCTGATGCCGCCTGAAATGGGTTTCAGTGGCGCTTGATTTTATCTAAGCGATTGCCGCAGGGAGGAAGTGGCGTGGGCTTGACTGCGCGAAGCGCGAAAGCCGGCGGCATGTGTGCTGCTCGGAAAGCAGGTAAAAATGGGTGCTACCGCTATGTAGAAACTAGCGACGACGCGGTTCAGCGCGTGGGATATATGTGACAGCGCCACGCGGTAGAGTCCATGATCCATGCTAAGGAAATCAGAACGACGAGGAGCTGCCGGAGAGTGTGGGCGAGGTAACACATATAGTGACGACCCATGGATATATCAGGATGGCTCTACGACATAGTCACGGAAGCTGACTGCGAGCTTAATTGGCAGAGTGCTTCTCAAAGCCGGGTCTATTCATCAGCCGGGGACAGCTGCCACCGCCGCAGATCGAGCACGGGCTGCTATAACTCAGACGCGAGTGTGCAGCCCGCGAAGAAGAGGTGCTGTTTGATCTCGATCGCGTTGCAGTCGATGCGCACACACTTGCGGATGGCGGGGCGTATTTGCTTTCATAACCCGAGCGCGAGGCGACTGGCAGAAGACGGAACGATAGGAGAAAGTACAGGTTCGCGAATGGGGAGCAAGATGACTACAGGTGCTTGTTGTACTTTCACGTACGCCTGTACTTGCCTTTCAAAATACGCTGGGAGTAGATCGATATTGGATGCTGTTTTTGTCGAAACTCTGTGCGTGTCCACACAGCGCGAAGCAGCGCATACTTCGGGATCAATGGAACCAAGCACATCTTGTGGCCACAGCTGCACCCGGGATATGGAAGGGAGTGGCGTCTAGTGCTACATCAAGTCTGTCGCACCAAGTCTGTCGAATTGGAGCTATCTCCTTGTACAGCACGCGTAGGCATTGTGCCTGTCATTTACGCAGCACTGACCAAGTGTGAAGTCGATATGACGTTGCAAAAATTCTTGCTGCGACGGCCAAACGCCCTTATCGCGCATAAAGTCAGCAGCGACCCCATTCCGTAAACTCTGGACACATGTAGCCAAAAGCTCTGTTGCGGTTTGACCACCATGCTAATGCATCCACGGGGCGCTGTGCTTGTGGTAGTCCGCGTAGTTTGCTCATAATGCAGCATGGTGTCCAGTTGGAACCATACTGGCTGGTGGTGAGACCATACGCAGCGCGCTTTGCAGGAGGAAAGTCGTGTAACGTGAATTCCCATCGGATCCTGTACCATGATGTCCACGGCGCTTTCCACCATGCTGGAACCAGCCGCCACCGGATCAGTTTGCCATGGCGCAGCGGAGAAGATGGTGAGGAAGTCCAAGACACTGGACCGACCCGAGTGCAAGGAAGAACCAGCTTTAGCAGTTCAGAGCTCGTTGTTGCCCAGTATTCGTCGCTGTTGCGGCGCTTATAAACTGCAAAAGTAACTGAAGACGCTGGCGCTTGAGATGGGCTACCAGGCTTGGTCCGTTGAGATTTCTTGAGTGGGCGTGAAAAAGAATCGTACAGTCATCGAGCAGTACGCGAATGTTGCGATCGACGACTCCATATTGGAACTACTGTTCATGCAGCAAAGCGAACACCGTTACGGCTAGTCTGGAATGGATGTTTGATGAAAGTAGTGACGTTTCGGTAGAGATGGAGAAGGCTGCACATAGGATGGAGTAAACATCGACATTGAGCCTTCAAACATGCTTCGATAAGGTTTTTGGTCTCATACAGCAGTTTTCAAGCTGGCGTACGCGAATTCTTGGCTCGCTTTGATGGAAGCAGTCGCCTGTGTTACAGAAATACTCTTTCAATGTGAATCTCCACGACTTTTGGCTGGATCTGGAGGTTAAGTCTCGACAATGGCGAAACCAATGTTTCGATTTGCTATCCTCTTGTTTGGGCACAAATATCTGGACTTTGCTTCATCTGAACGCGCATTGACTTCAGTTGTCGAATTTGCTTACATGGTACGATGCATCACTTACAAGCACAGTGCGCTCACTTTAGTTTGAGATGATATCCATAAAGCAGCTGGAAGCTCAATGATAATATCCTCGGGATATCTTCGTTACGAAATGCCTCAAGTGACGAAATGAAGCTTCATATTGTTGCCATAGCAGCCCTTGAGTTGAGTTGGTCTGAAGTCATTTATCGCCCCGTCAGCAAAATCACGGAAGCGACGGATCGAATCGGGACGTGAGGTCAAGCTCTACGATTTACGATACTTGCTCAGCTCGCGCGTCATTAGTGCCAGTTTTGCGTACATTTGCTCACGTAGTCTTGTCATCTGCTGATTCGGGTTTGGTGACAGTCTAACATGAGACCGTCTCCAAGAAATCCACATCCCAATTTGCCGACTCATTGTATCTTTCACTTTTGCTTCTACTGCACCATCATGTTGATCGACACCTGAGCGTACCGCAACTTGCATCATGTCAGGGTATTCCTGAAAGAGGCTGATGCTATTATAAGTAGCTCCAAGTAGGACAAGTCCGATTGCCATGACGCTTGATGATCATGAGGCAGTGCACTGTTTGGGCTACAAAATAGTCAGTGCTTGTGATAATAGGTGGTCGCTTTCCACAACAAGGTGAGCTAGTCGGTACTATCCAGTATGTCGTCGTAGTTCTCAATACCGTTTTGTTTCCATGGACGACATCAAGCAATGTCTGCACAATTTAATCCGCATGCACTATACACCGCAGCCCACTACCGCGCAGCAGTCATCTCAGCAGTCTGGAATCTCCTGCACGTGGCAGCAGTGCTGCTGGAGCCCGCAATGGTGTTACGACGAGACACGTCCATGCAGTTGCGTATCCTTAGCAGACAGTAGAGACCGTCATTTCCTCACACAACCTACCAGGGACTGGGTCTACTTCGTGTGCTGTCATCTACTGCATCGTGGTTAAAGTAATGTCATCCAAGGTCTTGAACGACTATCTCGACTCGTTTGCCGACGATCTGCCTGATCTTCGAGAGTGAATAAATTGACTGGACAAACTTGAATACTATGTAGTCCCAGCGATTCAGATGGACGAGGATGACTTAACATATAGGCTGGGTACGAGCGTGCCGTCACCTTTGTGAGCAGAGCGATCCGTGGACACCTGCATGCGGACTTGGCTTGAGCTACTCCTACAAACACTTTTGATTGATGCAGTCCACATCATCCTCGATAGTCTCAAGTACGACGTTACTTGACCTGCTTCAACTAGCCCAGCAAAGTTTTCATAATTCTATTGTAATTCTTCGACTACCACCATTTGTTCTTCCTGTCATTAAGCTAGTGGAAGACCTTCTTGTCTCAGTCAAAAAGATCACAGAGTCCACAACAGGTGATAGAAGTTCCAGCACCAGCGTATCCAATTTAACTTGGGAATGAAGTACACTCATTTGTGTTTGTTGTGCCAGCATAGTATCGTTTGAAAAATCATGCTCAGTTTCATGAGGTCGAGAGTTCTCACTCCAAATGAAGGTGCTGCATCACCGTTAGATGATACTAGAGCCAAATGTTGCCAAAGTCATGATGTTGATATGGCCTTGTGTGAATAAGCACAGTTTTAGCTCGACAGGAGCGAGGCTTCTTAGCTGCGTAATGATTAAGGTCATACGTACAATGGGCAAAAGAGCTCCATAACATCCACAAATCATCGCCGTAATGAGACCGTAGAGAACAAGTCTGAAAACAGTAGGAGCTTGAGAACGAACGCGACTAGTATCGCAATAAAACCTTCCGGCTTGATGCTTTCACAATCACAATAATGATAGATCTTATAAAACTTGGAGACCGCGAAGTAGGATCGAATCTGAGTGGAGAGGCAGTTCAAGCCTGCAAGAAACCAAACAGGATGCTTCACACAGCGCTTGCAAACAATGCCGGATAGAATGCTGATGGAGTTTCATTGTCACTTGATTCATAGAGTAGATCATCGTCTTCCAGCAATTCATCGCCGAGCTTCCAAAGCCTTTAAATAGCAGGTCCCTGCCCCAATTGAACTTCGACGAAAACTAAGTGTCAAACAGAACCTCTTAAACAGGCATTAGTACTATTGCCCGTTTAGGATTACCTGTGTAAATGCGCTATCCTCACGAGCAGCCAAATGGGTAAAGGTGCCGTGCTCCACAACGCGACCGTCTGATATTACAGCAATACGGTCAGCACTTTTAATGGTGGATAGTCGATGTGCCACCAAAATCACTGTGCGCCCTTGCTTGGCGCGATTCACTGCGTCTTGCACAAGTTTCTCACTTTCTGGGTCAAGAGCTGAAGTTGCTTCATCCAGGATGAGGATCTTTGGACGCTTCACAAGCGCGCGCGCAATAGCCACGCGCTGCTTTTGGCCACCTGAGAGCGCCTGACCCCGCTCTCCGACAATCGTATCATATCCATCTGGGAAAGACATGATAAAGTCGTGTGCGTTTGCTAGTTTAGCTGCGCAAATGACGTCCTCCATAGTTGCTTCTTGTCCTTCAAAGCAGCCGTAGGCGATGTTTTCCCGGATAGAGCACGCAAAAAGAGGTGGCTCCTGCGGAACAGCACCCATTAGACCGCGGAGTTCCGTCGGATTCACAGTGGAGATGTCCACACCATTCATCAAAATTTTGCCGCCGCACCCAGGGCCATCTAACTCGTAAAAGCGTGCAAGTAGCGACATCACCGACGACTTGCCGCAGCCACTCGGGCCCACGAGCGCTAACGTCTCATTAGGCAGCACCTCCAGATCGAGGCCACAGAAAATCTTTGAGTCTGGACGAGTAGGGTACGCAAACTCAACGTCTTGGAATCGAATATGGCCGTCAAATGTAGTCGGGAAAGGAGCCCACCCTCCTTGAGGAATCCGAATCTTTGGTTGACGCTGCAGCAACTCAAACACACGCGTGGACGCTCCAATGCCTTTCATTAATTCGGCGTAGAAGGACGACATACCCGCAAAGGAAAATCCAACGTAGAGTGTGTACAGTAGGAAAGAAGTCAGTTCACCACTGGTAAGCAGGCCATCCACCACCATTTGTCCGCCATATCCAAGAACACCAAGCATACTCAGCTTAACTCCAAAATCTACACCGCCAAAGAAAGTGGCACTTGCAAGAGAGCGCTTACGCGCCAGCTGCAGCACTTGGTCAACTTTTTTCGGTGGGCTTCCACCTCATGTGTCTCCTTGGCAAACCAACGTACCACACGAATATTGCTTAATTTCTCTTCGGCCACTTCGGTAGCTTCACTCAGCTGAGTCTGCACTTCCGCGGTCAGCTTTTTTACATATCGGCCATAGCTCACTGCGCCAAGTGCAATTGGCGGGACCACTGACAACATGATTACAGCTAATTGCGGACACGTGATGAATATCATCGTGATACTACCCAGCGCCTGTCCAGAGCTACGCAGTCCGCCAGCCACATTGTCACTCAGCACTTTACCGATCAGCGTCGTATCTGCACTCAGCCTGTTTAGCAGTTCACCTGTCCTTGACGAGTCAAAAAAGCTCAGCTCCTGCCGTAAAATTGACGCATATGTGTCCTGTCTTAACCTATTTATAATCCTTTCTCCAATCATGTTGGTAGTGTTGACTCGAATGATATTAGCAATAGATCCAGTAGTAAAGAGCCCCCCCAGTAGCGCCACTACTGTTGGCAACGACATAGCAGCAGCTGAGCCTGTTGTCACCACGTCAATGACCTTACCCATTCCATAGGGCACACACATGGTGATAAAAGTAGAGACACCTAGAGCCGAAATAGAAATGGCCAATGGTTTCTTCTCGGGTATATACAGCGATAACAGCCTTTTCACTTCTTTCTTGGCGACAGGAACCTGCATTATACGATCATTCACTTAAGTACGAAACACGTTTCCGATGAGGATCACACTCGTAACAATCTTACCTGGACTGAAACATGAACAGTCTCTTTCTTGTCATCATCACGCTTGTATTCAGTAGAATAAAGCCGCTGAAAACTCTTAGTTTGTGGGAAACAGAGCACATTAGAACGTTGCCTAATGCAAGCTCTAGTGTGAGTTAGTAATGCCTTATGAGAGCTAAAAAAGCAGAGAAAAGAGAGATGAGATACGGAATAAGGTGGGAAATTAATCAATAAAAGAAAAGAGGAGGATCGTACCGATGAAATCGTCGCAGCATTAGGAGCTGCATCAACCACGTGTTACCCGTTGAACCAAATGACTGAATGATGACATTCCCTCGAAAGAGTGCCCAAAATGTTCGAGGAGTGACATAAGGAGTGATGGTCAACCTTTTGAGTCAGGACAAAAAACCCCTTTCAAAACGATTTAAGTCTTTTGATCACAAATAGAAGGATAAGACGTAGGATGTGTAAATTGAAATGTATCACAATTTTCAGCTGATGAGCTTTAAGAATATTGGCGTTAGCAACGTGATGAGACTGCATAGATCTTTAATTTAATAGAATGGCACTATTTCTTTTACGTAAAAAAGTTAATATATTTCCTACAGGTAAATTCTATAACCAATTATTTCTTCTTTGGACTCTAAAAGTATTCGAATGCGTCTTTGTCTTTTTTTCTAATCTTGCGGCTGGCGAGGCGATATGTTAATGAACGACTGTGGCAATCGTGGCCAAAGCAGCCAACAGCGTCGGTTGAGGTCCTTTGTCATGCCATTATCTGGATATAAAAGCCCATCTATCTGGTGCGGACCAGATGTCCATTAAGTTAGAAAGTTGTAGGTAGCCAAAACTCAAGGACGGCAAATAATCGCAAGCACTTTATTCGTCAGCAAGAGGCATACAGCTCTTCAGCAGTGAGGCCATCTCTGTTCTGCATAAGCAGATAGATACATATGTCTACTATCAGCAGCAACAAGCGGCGGATCCGTGCTAACACTGCAGCACGTTGCGTCCTGATCTGCGCGCTGATAAAATTCATAGGCAAGCTCATCCTAACATTCCATAGGCTCAACTGGCCGCGTGAGATCAGTGTGCAGCGATACCCGTTCGAGCGATAGTAGTAAGCCACTTTTCTGGTCATTGACGAAAGCATGGTACTTATTGTTATTTATTCATGATGCGTCTTGATCTGCACTTGTGCAGAGGTAGTTAGAAGTAAAAGTAAGATATATCCAGTATTAAGTATTTTCGTTTGTTAATACGACAACATGCACTCCAACGGCTCTGCAACTTGACCATGTAAGTGTCAGATGGCATCCGTCTTACCTGCCCATCTCGTTTTGCGGTACCATATTGCAGCCGTATCGCCTTGTCCAAACTGTCCAGTTGTTGCTCGGCCGTCCCATCTGTCCAGCTGATGCCCTGTCTCTTCCTGCCCCATCTGCCACAAAACTGGCCGATCAGGTGAGACCGTCCCATGTACACTTGAACCTTTGAATACCTGACAACTGTCACACCGGGTACTTTTATAACTCTACTTCTCGGTGTCATCCTGTGTGGCATTTACGTTAAACATCCTTTGCAGCTCTTCCATTCTTGGCTCCGGTAGTGACTTCGTCAGTATGTCGGCCATCATGTCCTGTGACTTCACAAATCTTGAAGCCATATTTCCTTCTTGCGCATGACAACAGTTGCACTTGAACCGTATATCCACGTGCTTGGCGCTGGATGTGTTCTTCTACGATTTGATTTGCTTCATGCCGGCTTAATTGTCTATTCACATCGGCAAGGGCGCGTGAACACGAATCTTCAATTCGTTCAGCAATATGTTTATTCTAGTTATTCAAGGCCATCTTGATGATGCTGAGATGAATTTAGCCTCCATAGTGCTTAGCGACACTACTGATTGCTTCTTACACAGCCACAGAATAACGGCTCCATCCATAGTCATCACACATCCCGACACAGGCTTACGGTCAGACTTGTCGGCAGCAAAAATTTGCATCGCTCCAGCACTCGACCCGCACGTTCTCTGATTTCGGTCCAACACCGTGTATGTGAAACTTAAGACCCTTTGACATCTTTTTGTATCTCACGATACGTTTGGCGGTCTTCCAATCCTTGGTTCATGGCCTTGTGCACTGCAAAGCAAAGGTCTGGACGCGTACGTCTTGCAATCCATATTAGGCTTCCTACTAGTAACTGGAACGACTTTACACTTGGGTCACCCTTTGCCTCTCTTGCAATTAGTTAATCCAGATTGCCCTCGTCGTCCTGATTGCACTCGCCCCCAATAGGGGTCCGCACTCCGTTTGCTGACTCCATCCCGAACTCCTTCAGCAACAAGTTGATCGCGACCTCTTGATCCAAACGTATCCATTCGAATCGTCCAGGTGATTTTCGACCCCATAAACTTGCTCACGACCCCCAAGTCCTCAATAGACAATGAGCTAATCTCAGCAAAAAATTAGTCTACAGAGCTTTGCTCGGTTCCTGTGACCAACAGGTCATCCACATAGACACCGACCACTGTGCATGTCTCGCCTTTGTACTTGTAGTAGAGGCACATGTCCGTCGTGCATTGCTGAACTTCACCTTGTCGCAGTTTGAAGTCAAGTCATTTGCTCCACAGCCGCCCAGCCTCTTTAAGCCCATATAGTGACTTTTTCTCTAGATGACTTTTCTCCGAGACCTTCTAGCTTTCGTTTTTTCAGGGTCATTCCCTTTGGCACCCTCATGTATATATCCAGGTGCTCCTCCTTTTCCGCCTTCACATACGCGTTTGGTACGTCATTATGGCTTACCGGTACGTTCCATCGTGTAGAGAGCACCAGGATCAACTTCACCGTTCCTAAGTCCATGACGGACGCGAAAGTAAGCGTATAATCCACACCAAACACTTGTGTGTTCCCAAAAACAACCACACGAGCCTTGTACCTCTCTATGTCTCCGTTTGCGTCCGTCTTGGTCTTTAGACCCACTTGCTGTGTAGGACATGCGCACCCTTTGGTGAAATCACCACCGCACACACGTCGTTTGACTTCAAGGGAGTACTATTCTGCAGTCCTAGCTGTCATCCATTGTTATTAATGTCCACCTCTAACTGCCTCCCTATAGTGTTTTAGGTCTTGCACCATGATTGCATTTACCACATCTTGTTGCACAGCAGAACGTCCAGTCGAAGGTTTCTTAGCAGGTTGACCTTGTACCATGTCGTGCTTTTGTCCATCCGGACCTTCTTCCTTTACGACCCTTAGTGACACGTTTTTTCACACTTGGTCGCACTTGAACATCCAGTTCACCATCATTATTTGACTCCTCCTGATGGTCGATCTTCTCCAAGTAGGATTTAAGCTGTCCGTTTTGCTCTTTCGTCAGTGTTTCTATGTTCTGTAAATGCTGTGTTACCACAATTACCTTATCTTTGGGGATGTACATCCTGTACTCCTTCGTCTCATCACTTTTGCCAATGCTTATGGCTGCCTTCCCGCGCTATCCAAGTGATTTATTTCTTGCATTGGCGTGAACCGTGCATGCTAAGCCGAACACCATGATGTCGTTCAGCATGGGTACCTTCATTGTCAGAAACTCCATTGGTGATACACCATCCGGATTCGACTTGGTGGGTTTCTGTTGAGTATGTTAGTCGCGTACTCAGAAGCATCACCCTCGAAAGACAGCGGTAAGTGTTAAGCGAAAACCATGCTTCGTACCAGACTTATGATTGTACGATGTATTCGCTTAGCCTTGCCATTGCTGGCTTGGTTCCTGGCTTCGCTTATTTAACGCGAAATTCTTGTCTCCTTGCAAAACAAGTGCATTCACCACCACCATCCGTGCGAAGCACGTGAATCCTGCAATTGAACTCACGCTAAATGCTCACAAGAAAGTGCTTGAACTTGAGTGCAGCAACAGCCTTCATCACAGACAAAAACACACGGCAATAGTTTAACCGGTGATTAATAAAATTGACCAGGTAACGATTGCCTAGACGGTCTCGGGGGTCATTGGAACTTTGAGATGAGAGCAGATCACTACTCCACCTATCTGAGTTCTTGCCCGTTTATTTCTTTGACTTTTCTCTCTTGACTTGTTTTCCTTGAGAGCACGCCAAGAACGTCATGCGTGTCGTGTCAGTAAGCTTGATAGCCGACGCCGGGTCTTTCGCCATCTTGATGATCGTATTAAACATAGATGACCCAATCGGCGATGAATTCCATCATAGTAACACCCTCAACATCCGAATTGGATTCATATTAAGGTGAATTGATCACAGCATCATCGCCTCATGTGGTGTAATTGAGGTTTTGGTGTCGCCTCCCATCACCTTGACAACCAACACATTGTTGTTGTAGTCAACATCCATGACCGGTGCACCTCCGACCCCGGAGGTCAACACACGCCTCCCTTTTCGATATTCGAGTACACATCGTTTGGAATCGAGCTTATCATACCAAATGATATTTCGCTCGAGGTTCGCAGCGTACTGAACGTCGAGAAGCCGTATGGTGTTGACGACACCAAGTGCAACAATTGCAATGTCGACACTGCCTTGCTTGGTCACACGTATCACATGGCCGCAGTCAAGCTTTCGCTGTTACAGTCATCCGGTGTTATCATCAGGCTTAAGTCATTAACCAAATGTCTGCTGGAATTATTGACCAAAATCCGATGATCGTTCTAAAGACCACCACCATTACCGGTCGCAGAGGTAAAGTTCGTCCTTGGAACCTTCTTCATGAAGTGAGGTCACCTTGACCTAATGTGCCCAGTCTTTACAAATGTAACATAGGCACTCGTCACATTCTTGAAGTTAGCATTTGCCTTGTCCTTGTCCGTGTCCTTTGGGTCCTTCCTTGATTTAACAGCAATACCACGTCTCGCCCCAAATTTTTCGCATGAGTGTCGATTTATGTTGATTGTGCGAACTACTCCAGCTCTTCAGCCTTACGTAAA